GCTCTTTATCCTCGATCATCACGACACCATCATGCCATTTGTAAGACGAATCAATGCCACCGATCGAAAGGTCTACGCCACCCGAACGCTGCTCTTCCTCAACAATGACAGCACCCTGAAACCCCTCGCTATTGAGCTTAGCCTCCCCCATCCAGGTGGCGATACTTTTGGCGCCATAAGCACTGTATACACGCCCATGACTTCCGGTGTTGAAGGCTCAATTTGGTCGCTTGCCAAAGCCTATGTCATCATCAATGACTCCTGCGTTCATCAGCTTATTAGCCACTGGTATTTGTTCATCAAATAATCAAACATAAGTTTAAGAATTGTTTACATTGTAGCTAGAATCCTTCGTGGCAGGCTGCGCACTCACGCAGTGATGGAACCCTTCGTGATCGCCACAAACCGCCACCTGAGCGCGATGCACCCCATCAGTAAGCTCCTTTTGCCACACTACCGCGACACCATGAACATAAACGCTCTCGCTCGACAAAGCCTCATCAATGCCGGCGGCCTACTAGAGTTCATCATTTTTCCTTCCAAGTACACTATGGAAATGTCCTCCTCTGTTTACAAAAGCTGGAATTTTGTCGAGCAGGGCCTTCCATCCGATCTCCTCAAGCGAGGAATGGCGGTGGAAGACCCCTCTAAGCCGCACAAGCTTCGATTACTGATTGAGGATTACCCTTATGCGGTGGACGGGCTCGTCATCTGGTCGGCGATCGAGACTTGGGTGAGCGACTACTGCGCAATCTACTACGAGGAGGACACGGCGGTGCAGTGCGACGAGGAGCTCCATGCTTGGTGGAAGGAGGTCCGCGAGGTGGGGCATGGTGATAAGAAAGATGAGCCGTGGTGGCCGAAGATGAGGAGTGTGCCGGAGCTGGTCAATACGCTCACCACTATAATATGGGTTGCTTCCGCAATGCACGCCGCGGTGAACTTCGGGCAGTACCCGTACGCCGGCTACGTGCCGAACCGGCCAACATCGAGCCTCCAGTTAATGCCGGAGGTGGGCACGGCGGAGTACGAGAAACTGAGGGAGAAACCGGAGAAGGTGTTTTTGAAGACGATCGCGTGTCAGCTGCAGACCATAATTGGGATTTCGCTGATTGAAGTTCTGTCCACGCATACGAGCGATGAGGTGTATTTGGGGCAGCGGGTGAGCGCTGAGTGGAGCGGAGATGATCGCGTGATCGATGCGTTGAACCGATTTGGGGCGAAGTTGAAGGGGATTGAGAGGATGATTGAGGAGAGGAATGGTGATCCCAGGCTGAAGAACCGCAACGGGCCTGTGAAAATGGCTTACTCGCTGCTGTCTCCTTACAGTGAGGGTGGGATCACGGCTAAGGGGATCCCCAACAGTATTTCGATTTGAATGTTTTCTCAAAACTTGGAACTTTGAATTTGGTTAGTTTATTTGGATTCCTCCATGTCTGCTGTTGGAAGCTCGGTGAGTGTGATTTTAAGGAAAGAGTATTAGATGTGGTGATTTGTACATGCCAATTAGCGGTGTGTACCTCTAAGTGCATCTCCAATATACTCCAATAATAATAGTTGATTTTTTTAATATTCTAATTATTTTTAAATGAAAATTATTTAAAAAATAGATAAATACAATTATAGCAATGCATAATAAATTGGAGGATTGAGATGAGAACACCTTTTATTAGATAAAAGTTTTAGAATTTATAAGGTTAAGAATTTTTAAATTCATTTTCACAATTTAACTCTAGAACTCAAACAAATAAAGTTTCGAAACTATAGTTCTTTTAATTTTACTCTCTTGTTTTTTTT